TGCTTATACGGTTTTTCATGTATCATTGCTCTGATCAATAATTCACTCCTCTCTGATTGGTGGGGATCATCACATCATATATAAAACAGGGTATGCACTCAATCGATTTAACAGTATACAGAACAATTTTCTCACTAAATTATTACAAACAGAATATTATACTAAATACATATAATGCTGAAGTAAGACGAATATTATCCTGGACATATCACATTGAATTAAAAATAAACAGAATGATATATTGAATAAGTATCATCAGATTAATTCATGATCTTATATTTTATTTCGTCCTAACAGTAACCCTTCAAACTGTATTCTGGTTAGTAGAGATGGATAGTGGCTAGCAGTGGAATCCAGGATGTGCGTTTCGTCCTATTTGGGACTCGTCAGCTGGATGTACCTGCATCTCAGAGTTGATGTTCACTCTGGGACTCGAACCCAGTACCCTCGCTTCAAACGGCATCGCGTTATCCACTCGGCCACTGACCAGTTGCAGTCCTAACAAATCGATGGGAAGATTCAAACAAACAATACTAAGTTGTATTCTGGTTAGTTGAGAATGATGAAAATATTGATCGTTGGTAGTATATTTCTGATTAGATTTCTTGATTCTAATAATCTATTGTACATATAGAGAATGTTAACTTATGATTGTATATACCCTCAAATGATGAGTTTTCAACAACACGAAGTATTATCTTGGATATTCAAAAATACACAAATTGTACTTCTTGTCAGGATGTGAAATTGTTTAAATATGTTGTACACTTGTTTAATGGAATAGAAAAGACACCATATGATTACTTGGTAAATCAATAAAATTTGTACTTTTTAACAAATCAATACTATTTTTGTTGAAAAAATATGTTGCAGGATTTTGACTATATTTTAAACGTTGACTGTTCATAGTCATAATGTAAGGAAAGTTTATTCACTTTGCTTGGTTTTAATTTTGTTAGTCAAAGGCTATTCTGATATGAAATAAAACAGTAAATTATTATCAAAAGGGGTTTTTGTGCAGATTTAGTATTTTCATAGTTGAAAGCGTTAGTCAATTGAAGCTAAACCACCATGGAAAACCTGGAAGCACTGGACGGCCGTTTCGTCCTATTGTGGGACTATTGGTTAAGTGTTCTGGCGCGAGACTGGTAGATCCTGGGTTCGAATCTCACGAAGCAAGGTCGTGGATGCGCACTGCTGAGGAGTCCCACAATAAGACGAAACGGCCGTTCAGTGCTTCCAGATTTTCCCTGGTGGTCTAGCTTCAATTGACTCACGCTTTCAACTATGAAACCAGTAAATATTTACTGACAAGTCATATGATTAATCATTGTAATCATTTTCATTGTGAAACAACGATAACAAGCCGATTGCATTGGGTGCTAAGAATTGACAGTTAGTACGCTTATTCACTTAATGTACGTCATATCACAGAGATGAGGAAATGTCAGACGACAACAGAGAGTTTGCTTTTCTACTGTTAAGAATCTGTTGACTTTGTTTAGCGTTTAAGAGGAGATTATTAATCACTTATTAACGACTGTTATTGTAGAAAGTTAATAACTCTAATAACATGATCCAAATTCATATTCTTATTCATAGTACCGGAGGTTTTTCGTTGGACGTATGAATAGTTTTATTTACTAAGTATCACTTGCTCACTGAACAGCATTGTGTTATGTCGAACTACTAAATTCGGTTACTATTGCTTTCTTAATACCTGGCCTGTGAAGAACAAAATTCCCGAGACTGCGTGTGAAGCTATATTACTAAAAGACGAATACAAATATTTACAACTCATGTATATTTAAAAGCTACCATGAGTGAGTGACGACCCTGGTTGGATGTGTAATTTATTTACTCACTAAATCCCGCCTATACTAATATCGCAACTAACTTATGCTCTTCTGTCTCACACATCTTATCCACTCTGTGAGAATTTCAGTGCTGGTAAAAGTAGTTGAACTGTTATAAGAAGTCATTTTTAAATGAATATTTTCAGTTATAATCAAAAGAATAGTTCTTCATTCATCATCACATTGATATCGGAACTTTCCATATCCAAGTTTCCCAGTAGTGTTAGGACTGATGTTGTTCGAGGACACAAACTCAAATGTGAACATTTGCAAATAGAGTACTTTACTATATTCACCGTTCTGTAATGAATTCTCATCGACTGTGGCTGGGATATGTATTGCGTATACCTAACGACCATCTACCTTAACACGTGATTCTGAGTGGTGTAAGAAAAGTTGGAAGAAATATAAGGGTCGGGAAACCAGATCCCAGCATCAGTTCATAAAATGACTAGTTGTTAGGTTGAGACTGTGTCGATAGATGAAGACTACCTGCTCGGAGTCGGCATGATTATCATAACCAATGGTTAGAGACTTTGGGTGATATGGTTCAGGATCGAAATCACTAAACTCAACTCCGATCCCTATTAAAACCTGCTATATCTAGAACTTGAATTTTCGCTATACCGCTTATAGCTAACTGTAATTCTAACCCTAACAAACGTTGCATCCCATCTTGTGTTTTTGTGCATTCATCGAATTAACAAGTGTAATAATTATTTAATAATCCGACGTCCAATGAATACTTAACGATATTTTCACGTAAATTACTCATCGTACAATCCAGTCAATATCCTGGTTCTATGCACCAGAACCTTTAAGTTGCTTAGTCAATTGTAATTGGTTCGGCTGTACACTTAGGCTTTTACACCTAAGTGTGTTTTGTTCTTTTTTTCCTAGGATTTTTATATATTCCACCTACCTGTTTGTTTTACTTGTCAACTTCTATTTGGTTGATTTTATGTCAATTTTACTGTGTCTGCTAATGATTACTATTCATGAAATAACTTCAGGAATCGTTTTTACCAAAATATTATTGATATTAAGGGTGTAATTTATCTCGTTGTTGATGTTAGCGACTGAACTTCAATCATCTTTGTTGGCAATATATATGTACTAAGACGTGATATTAGTCTATGAAATCAATTAGCGTTCATCTGAGCCGTGTCAACAGTGAATGGATACTACCTGGTTAGGGTCCGCAAGAATATCACAAAACCGATGGTTACAGATAATGGGTGAAATGGCTCAGAATCAGTCATAGTGGCACAAAAGCATCCACAAACTTCAACATTTCATCTGATACTCTTTCTACTTCACGAATTTATATTTTCTTCTAGAATTATATTATTGATACCTTGTGGTGGTCGTATTTCGATATTATCCCTAAACTACGTATATTGTTCGTCCTGATAACTGTTACTCGATAGCGCCCCAACGGTGTATAAATCAGAAGGCGAATACGAAGTGTGGATTGCGTTTATTATTGGACCACACACAGATATCCAAAATTACAGGCACGTTTAAGCAAGCATGAAAGAAGTGCAGTAAAGCAAGCGAGTGAGCGCGCGAGAGATTGATCGAGTAAGCGAGTACAGTGAACAGGATTAAGATGTACATATATATACAAATGGAAATGCATGAATCATCGAATCAATTAAGTGATTAATAGTAAGACTAGCAGAATGAATACGTGCGTAGGCAGTAAGCAATGCTCAAGCGTGCATAATAAAAAAGGTACAATAGTATAGATAGATTGGTATTGTGCGAATGATTCTGCCCGTTAAATAATTTAACAAAAGGCTTAACCAAATTAGATATGAACAAACTCAATTGTATGTGAGCTGCCATAACCTAATACCACTAATACTGGTACCACCTCTTTTACTCGGACATCTCGATGTGCTGATGTGGTGTGGCAATTTGAGTCGATGCGCTAGATTCTAAGTTAGGTATGATTGTAATTAATCCTGTAGTATTTGTGTGCGAATGTGCGATCGATCGCTTAATTTTATAAGTAAGTGTGATACGCCAAGTAACTGAATGCATAGACACCTACTTCCTAACTGCTTTTTAGTCCCCAGATAGTTTGTACTCTCAAATACTGAACAAAAAAGCAAAAAGAAGTTGTAGATGAAGCTTTATTTCCAATGTCGGTTCATGCACAGAAGATATAGGTAGTTATTTAACTAAATGTGATGTTGAGCTTCTGAAAAATACACTAAAATTGGTAACAAAGTCGGTGATTACCCGATAGGATAGTTACAACACAAACTGTCGTTTCCATAGAATTTTCTTGGAAGTTTCCGAAGAACACTGATTAGTTCTGAAAACCTATTCAGAGAATTATTGAGGCCTCCTAATATAATGTGGATAATTGACAGTTACTCATAAAAACTAAATTATTGACGCAAAGCTCCCTAAAGGAACGGATATTAAGAAATTGGACTAATTAGTGACTGGTTATTCCTTACTAGTAAAACAAGTTACGCCTGTTACTCCCAATGGAGCATGGGCCGCTTACTAGTGAAACAGCAAACATAAATAAATATGATTAAGAATGAAAACAAATGTAATTTTAAGATACAGTTCTTGTAGGCCACTTATCAGTAAGTGAAATAGAGACCTATTATATTACTTATTGATCGTTATATCAAATATCGAAATTACGCCGTATCTTTCTAGGTTTCCGAGTTTGTCAAACTTATTGGATGAATTAACTTTACTACGGTTTGTTTTTGACGTACCGTTCATTCACATTTAAAACCTTAGCAAGTATATGTTATTCATGTAAACCGGGATGATAAAATGATCGGAGATCTGGAAGAAATATATTTAATCCTCATATCCTTGCTAATATCTTAATATAGCTAATATTCTTAAAGCTATTTGAAAGCGGACTATTAAATAATGTTATATGGTTTCGCTAAAATATTCACCAAAACCTTCAAAAAATCAACAGTTGAAATATGGATGACAGTGTCCCTGTAAGGATGAATCTGGACGGTGTGGAAATGAAAGAGTAAGGGGAAAAAGAAAACTGAAATAACCACTTCCCTCTGTACGCAGTTACATATACACGCTTAATTGTAGGTGTATTAACGAATAAAAAGAGGTGAAAAGAAATTCAAACATGAATTATTTCCGAACAATGCCATTTATTACTACTATCATAGAACGATAAATAGTAGTATATGTTACTAATAGTGAATAACAATGAAAGATAGAAGAAACAATAAAGATGAACAATATTTTAAGTGAAATAAAGATTTGAATATATCTTTTTCTTCTGGCAAAATACAGTTGTATAGTAGGTATACTAGCATTTTTATACAGTGAAAATGAATTTTTGTATACTCTTTTTCTCAAGGTAAAATAAGGTGTGTGTGTGTGTGTGTGAAGGGGTGAGGTGGGTGGCGTCGTTGAGTTGACTGCGGACAAAATACAATAACATGCAATAAAATAAATGATTGTTTGATTAAAGAATTTTTTCTCTTATGCAACAAAATCTATGTATTACATAATGCAGTAAATATTTAAATCTATCGTATGAAACAATCTTATTATCATAATTGTACATTCATTCGTACAAAAGAATCTATTTCAGAGGATATAACAAAACGGAATTGAAGAGACCATACAATGACTGTTGTCTTTCCAAAGTAAGTTAATAATAATAATAATATAAACAGAGCTACTGGATTCATCACAATTCAAAATAGTGTGATGTCCCCATTCCTTCGAATTATTCATCTTTACTTATTATAATAATATAACTAACATTATATTATTAATTAATAGGGCAGTTCAAATTTCACATTTATAGCAGCTTCACGAGCCAAATGAACAATATTAGCCAGTTTAACAGACTGAAAAAAATTACAAAAATAAAAAAGAAAGGCAATAAGCGAAGTTACAACATAATAATATATTCCTCCAAAAAAGAAAACATGAAGGTAAACAATGTAATGATGGTAATGTGAATTCTAAATAAATAAATTGATGACATTTACAGATTTTATGGACGACAGTGTAATAATGATGATGGTTCTCTGGAACAATGGAGTACATGGGGCTAATTTAGTTGGATAGTTGAAGTTGGACTATCAGTGAATTGTTCTATGAAGGTGAAAATGTGGCTTGGTAGTTTTGGACATTCTTGATTTTTAATCAACAAGATCACAGGTTCAAAACCTACCCTGATGTACTTTCTCGTTTCCAGTAGTCGAGAGGTAGTGCATCACAAGCTCTTAAAATAACTAGATTATGACACAAAGTCCCGTCTAAATAAGCTAATGTACTTGGTAAACAAAATGACATTTTTCTATAAAAACATAAGCAAACTTCAAATTGAGTGCACGATATTAGATATAAACATTAACTGTAAAATATGGGCGAACAAATGAAGGATGGGATAAAATGAACAAATTGAGATTTATGTCTAAGTAAATAAAAAAGATTATACATTATTTATTGATTCAGTACTGAAGTAAGGATAAGTCCTATCGAGATTAGACCTGATTTAAAGTGATGGGCATCTGAAAAGTGGAACTTGACTGGTCATCTGTTTTAGTTATTAAACATAATAAACAATCCAGTCTGATTTAAAGAAAAGTGTTAAGTATTTATGGGGAATTCAAAAGTGAATAACTTTCGCCTTACATGACGTAAGACTAGAAGTAGAAATACCATTGTGTAGAGTTCAGAACGTTAAAATTGATGATAAAAACTTAAGTATTTCCACCATAAGGTAGAAATAATTGTGTTAAACATATCAAGTGCTCAATCTTTCCTATGTAGAATGCATATAACATGTGAATAAACTGTTCCGAAATTTGGACTCTAAACCTTAATCCGGAATGATCTGGGGATTCGTGAAAAACTTTTTGACTCCTTATAACGGTTCGCGAAGACAGATGTTCTATATGCATCTGGGTGAATTTATATGAAGTTGTTTTCTCGAGTTACATACCGAAAAACCTTTATATAATCTTGATAGATTCATGACTTCTTAGAGGGCCACACCCGGAGCCTTTGACCCAAAGATCTGATCCACAAGGCAGTGGAGCATCGTGAAGAGATGCAGTCCCATGGTAGCCGGTCACCAACGATTGATTCATACGCCGTTTTTTCCCTCAGGATACTGTAGCCCATGTACACCATTGGTTTGTAATCAGGGTTTTCCAACTCCCCTAGGTAGACTCGCCGTGTCCACCAAACCGGTTAAAGCGCCCGACATTCGCTTTTCGTCCTCTCAATTTCGTAAACAACACCGCCTTCACGAGAAGGCAGTGAGTAGGACTTCCCTGGCAGAGGCTACATACGCGTGGCCATGTGAGAGCATTTCGAGAGGGAGAGCGTACTCTGCCCACTCACGGCTGTAACAGGGCATTTGGAGGCTCTACTTATTGACTGAGATGAATAGTTTCCACTTAATGTGAATATTTTTAAGACAACAAACTAATCAATCAGTTTATCTCTAATACTATACTTTTATTTAACTAACAATAGAAATACTAGATATGTATGAATAATAATAATAATAATAATAATAATAATAATAATAATAATAATAATAATAAAGAAAACACACAATGAAATTCTGAAATGAAACATACCATTTGAGCAGCTTCATCTAAATCACTACAACCTAGAATTTTCATATGACTTGTAGCAAGAATTGCTTTAGCATCTTCAACTCTAGTGCCTTAGTATTTTGATTTATTTATTGGTGATTAGTTTTTGTTTGTTTATTTGTTAGTTTTTTTCGGGAACATGTATTATGAAAATGAAAAGAAAACAATAATAATAATGTAAATCGTACTGATTAAAATGTATTAAGAGATATTTTTGTAAAATGATTACTTCTACTTAACAAAAAAAATAATAACTCGAGATGATTAACATAATACATATATAGAAATCATGTGCTCACTAGTCATTGAGTTCAAGAGGTGATTATTTCTTGAGTTCTAGTAAGAAACTATAACTGATAAAGTCAGTCAGTCAGTTGCAACGTAGGACCAGGCACATATATGCATCGGTTCAAGTTGTCACACCTCATTAGCACAACAAGATGAACATCGAATGCATAGAAGTAGTTAATTTAGTGGTGGTAATATATAAAAGGTTGTATATAAGGATATAGTACAGAAAGAAAGACAGATATGAAGCAATTTTGATCTTACAGTTTAAGGGAAGATAGAGAGTGTATACACCTACACCATTGTGATCGATTCTGGGCCATGTCACACCGAGTCTCCAACCATTGGTTATGATAGTCACGCGGACACCAACCAAGTAGTCTACATCCACCAACATGTCTCAGACTAGAAGTCAGTGACTTCAGAGACTAATGTCACGTTTTGGTTTGACAGCCCTTAACTCTCTTCCAACCATCCCCAATATTAGTCAGCACTCCGCACTGTCGGTGTTCAAGCATACGTAACACGTGAACCAACCATCTCAGTTGATAAAGATTTACATCCTCATCTACTGATTTACCATCATTCCCTAATACCCTGTGTCTAACCTAACTATTACTTACCCGGTGACCCCAGAAGATGTGAGCAACTTTTTAAAGACACCTGTGGTCAAATACTAGTAACTTACGAGTATCTTCTATTCTTAATGGCCACATTTCACAACCGTGAAGTAGAACAGAGCGAACTGCTGAGCAGTATACTTGTCCCTTAATTGATAGATGGATATCTCGTCTTCGCCATAGGTGACATAAGTTAGCAAAATCCAAATGAGCTTTTTGAGTCCGTGATGAGATTTCGTCAGGCACCAACCCGATAAGGTTGATCAGACTGATGAAGTTCAAACATATTGTATGATAAGTCAATCACTTAATATCAATGACCATTGAAAAATGGTTGTATAATATTGTGAATTGATTGAAGATAGATATAGAAACACTATTGGATGCCAGTTAATTGGTCTAAACGTTAAACTATTACTTTGAGACTTGAAAGTCCTGCATTCGATCTATGGTGGATGCGCATTGTAAATGAAGAGTCCCAAAATAGGATGGAACAGCTGTTTAGTGTTTCATGAGTTTTAACGATTATTCGATTACAGTGAGTCCGTGATGCAAAATATAAAAATTTGACAATATTCATAAACCGTTATTAAATTAATCATACAAAAATCATTTTTATAAAATGAAGCGAAAAGTTGTTTAGTAAAACAATATCAAGATACCACTAGTTTTATGATTCATTTTGAAGTTTAATTCTCTGAGCTGGATGGTTTGGCCGTGGAGCTTTCATTGGTCTTCTGAACGACATCATCAGTAGCACAAACTTTAAGTAGAAGTGAGGTGTTCGAATTTCTCCACATATAACTCCCAGCTTGTCTTATAGACCTTGATCTTGATTGGCTAGTGTTGAATTTTAACCTGTCATTGTTTACTCCTTCATTACCCATTGTATTTCCCTTTGATTTGATTCTTAGTCCTATATTTACCCATGATGAGAAAAGTTTCAGCTGATGATGCTGTTCAGAAGAAAACTCCACGACCAAACCATTCAGCTCAGAAAACAAAACTCCACAAAAATCATCCACCTGAACTACAAATCTCCGCCATAAGTTATTCATTATACTATGACTATATTTTAGTGAACTGTATTGAAATAATAAAATATTATATTTCTTGATAAGAATAACAACATTTATATACGATATTCTGTGTGGAATTTATGCATAAAAATGTGTAGAGTATATGAGTAATACATGGTGGTTACATTACATGTAAATATATATACCTAAATGTAGAGAAAACAAACCCCGTACTGGTTAAAAATCAGATACACCTTAGTAAAGAAGTATATATTTTTGTGTATTTGGAGTATGAAGGAACATATTTCTTTTTAATTCTATAAGAACTGGTACTATCCAATGGTTGGTGAAAACGTTGAGTGATATGACTTAAAAAGTCATAATAGCGCAGTTGCGTTAATTCTTTGTCTTTTCTACGATCTTGAATTTTTCAGAAAATATTCATGCACTTTATTATTCCTAAGATTCGTTTTTTTCTTCTTGGATTATATTGCCTATGCCTAAATGTTTGTAATTGCCACCACTCTCATAACTCTGGAAATCTTACTATACTGTTATGGTGTGATAACTTGAACTGATATACATCTATCTCAAGTTCTGAGTTGTTTAAGGCTGACTAAGTACTCTATAGTTAATCAAATAAGAAGAGCAGACGGAAAGAATTTCGTACATACAACGAAATAAATGGGTTGAAAGATGAGTGCTTTAATCAAGACAAACCACTGTAACTTAGTATTACAATACACCAAAATGATAAATATTGAGATCATGAACAGATCAATGTTAGACTACAACCGAAAACCTGGAAGCACTGGACGGCCGTTTCATCATAGTAAGTGGCGCCTCAGCAATGCGCATCCATGATCCCGCAGTCGGTACTCGGACCCAGAAATCTCTGGTTCACAAACTAACTGATATGAGTTTACGATGAAACATAAACTTGAAAACAATTTGCGCGAAATCGCTCTACCTTCGAAATAAGTAATATATATCAATAATAATAATAAATCACCAACCTTGCAGTCGTACAACAATTGGTACTTTTATGTTTAATTCCGTAGCAGCAGCTACAATACCTTGTGCAATCACATCACAACGCATAATACCACCGAAAATATTTACAAGTATAGCATTGACCTTCGGATCAGATGTGATTAGACGAAAAGCTTCAGTCACTTGATCAGCTGTCGCTCCGCCGCCAACATCAAGAAAATTCGCTGGACTACCACCATGCAATTGAATTAAATCCATAGTAGCCATAGCTAAACCAGCTCCGTTAACTGAAAAGATTTATTAGATAATTAAAATAATATATAATTAAAATAATGGTATAATCTCGATATATATGTTTATTTATTTATTTCGAATTAAAAAAAAAGGAAATAATGATATTGCTTGAAGTTTCTGGTTTTAATAACTGTTAGATTCATCGATGCGCAATACAAAGAAATCCCATATAATGAGACATAACACCTAACTATCCAGTGTTACCATCTGGTCTTCTATGGTTGTCTAACTGAGGCCAGTGCATGAAGTAAGCTACCAATTTGGATAATCTCCACATAACCTCTTGTTCACTAACAACAATTATACACTCGCACTAGTGACTACTTTCAAAAGGCAGTTCAGTGGCTAGAGGAGTTCAGCCCTGTTGGGTATGCAAGAGTGTACTAACAAAAGGTATTGCGCAATGGATGGGTAATATTATGAATCGACTAGGTTTAGAAATATAAATCATTGGATGCTATCAGTTTAGTGATCTGAAAGAGAAAAGCAACCCGCGAGGACTGAACAACCTGGGTCCAACACCTGGTGGAGTCGTCGAAGTGCATTATTGACAAGTACTATATTAAGGTGGGATAGTTAGCCGGCCAAGATTATCTAGTTTTCAAATGGGCATATTCAATTAAAGTCTATCAATGATGTGAAATTATAAAAACTAATGATTTTTTAGAATTCAGAAGAAAAATAGGTCAACTTTAGGGTGATATCGATTAGTTTCATTCTGAAAAAGAAGAATCTAGACACGTGACGACGACCTTGATAGAAAATAAAAAATCGAAGGATACGTACAACAAAACAACAAAATCTACACATATGGATTGTAGTGTATTTTGATTCATTTAGCGAACAGTTTCTTATACTGTGTCAATGTTTTGAGCTTACAATGCGATATTTCAATAGACGTTCATTTATTATTGGATCAAAGTTATCCTTCTTCGCCTCTTGAAACTCAACTGATTTGATATAATTTATAATGCTATCATAACATTTTCTGAGATTTCTACTGTCATTCGTAGTATTTAGAAGAAAATGTCCAATATAATAAATGGACGTCTATTGACAAACAAGAGACAGTAGGGAATTTACAAGGAGTTCAATAACCATAGAGCGAAGACCTTGGATAATAAGTCGTATTCTAAGTGTAAGGGTTAATGACAATACTCGGTTCTCCAAACCGAAGTAAGTAGGACAAAGTTCGCAATTCAAACTTAGTAACCGAAAGTCGAATGCCTTAACCGTTAAATTGCTGCTCCATAGACTCATTATTCAGTGTTGTCAATGCGCATCTGTGTCAGGCTCTATGTTGATGATGACCGACAGATTCTCTTCTCATCAGGCCTTCAGAACTATAATCTCGTTTTTTTTATAGAGTAGATGGATTGTGGTGAGCATTTCGTCCTATCTGGGACTCGTCAGTTAGATGCACCTGTTACATCCCAGAGTTGACACTTTATACTGAAACTCGAACCCACTACACCTTTCATTTTAAACGCTCATTGAGCTATCCACTGAACTGCTAAATCCACATAACCATCCACTTGTCAGCAAAATTTAGTCAAAAATATCGACAGCGGGATATTCAAACTATTTTATAAACAATGATAAATATATTTGAAATGCTTGGTTTTCTTCATTAATTATTTCCAATTTCTCTCTATCCATATCGTCAAGTTAATATGGTATGGAAACTTGGTCTAATCCATATTTGTTCCACGCGTTCCACATATACCATGGAAACATATTCCTTTTGGGGGTACCTGAAAATAAAACTGGGTTAGGGGTGCTCTTGACGATCTGGGAAAATGGTTATAGAGCTCAATAAATAACTGCTTGAGGTCGATCAAATATGAACTTTTTTCGAATAGTTTTGAATGCGTTGGCTTCATACTTTTAAGGCTTTAACGTTGGCGGGAAGAATCCATGGGTCAAGTTGCAGTGTGATTTTTTTATGCCTAGACCTATCGTTATCGCCTCATGTTATGGGAAGGTGGAAATGCTACAGATGCTGGCTGTCCAAGGGAAACACTTTGCCGCGGTCTCGCATCACAGTACAGTTAGGTGTATGACATCACCCTCGAACCATGAGTATGCTGCTTTCAGCCCCACTGTTCTCTAACCAACTTATCTGATATGGTAGGATCTAAAGGAACGAATATCTCACCCAATATAGTTTAATCAAGTCATCATGATATGTAAACCTGAACATTACATTATGACGGTAGCTACAATCATGTAAAACAACACTCCAATAAGTGAAGTGTAGGTAAAATAAATATCAATTTTATCATCACAACTTACCTAAACAACCAATATTTCCATCTAAACCAATATAATTTAATCCAGCCTTTGATGCTTTCACATCGCGTTCATCTTCTTGTGACCAATCACGTTGTGCAAAAATCTCTTTCTGTCGAAATGCAGCATTATCATCGAAATTCAATTTACAATCCATACAAACAACTAGTTCAAACACAGAAAGAAAAAATACAGATGCGAGAAAGGAATTATTGGCATAACTATGGTCTTTTTTTACGTACATACACTTTTTAAATTCAGTTTTAAGTATATTCATATATTAATAAGACAATAAATTTGCATTTAAATATTGATTTCTCATATCCTCCTCTTAGCACTCAAAGACGTGAGATCAACTGAAAGCATAGAGCATATTTTGAATAGTGGATGGAAGAGAAATGTAGGAAAGGTGCCTTATCCTATTTGGGGTTAATCAGCTGATTAGCTTTGATATTAATATTGATGTTCATTTTAAAATTGGGAAGCCATCGATAGTATGGTCTATATCCAAGTTCAAATACCAAGAGATTGATTAAAATTGGCCAGGAATAGCAACAAATTCAGGGTATATTAACCTTGTACTCATTAAAATGTTCTCCATTTTTAGCAATAAGCTTTTTTCATAGCCATTTTCATTGTTCAAAACATTCATGAAGGTCTACATAAATCAAGCTTTACAGCTGCTTTATTGTTTAACATGACTTTTTACTCTCAAGCAATTTTCTAAAATCGTTAACAGAAAATTTTCCAAAATATAGTTAGTCAACAATTATTCAGATAAGGTAGTCGAAAAGCAAAAACGATAGCACAAGTTCAATGCTTTTATCAGTACAAGAGGTCATCTTTAGTTAACATCACTCTTGGAGTCTTCACACTTTACATTGAAACGCCTAAAATGAGCAGTTTTCTTTAGTACATTATATTCACAAGCAAATCTCGAAATTCCGCAAGAGTTTATAAGAAGTTCTGTCAAAATACTTGATACTACAATTCGTGCATTTATTTATGAGAATACGTAGTTGATGTGTAGATAAAAGAAAGCACGTCGTAGAGACAAAGCTACATTCTTAGTTTTATAAAATTATTGTTAAGTTCTATCGGATTTTATCTCTAAAAACAAAAAACCATAGTTATCACTATAACCAAAATATTTCATTAGATTTCGTCATTGTCTGTTGTCAAACTTTGGTCAGAATACATTCGTTTCTTTCTCTCTGATAATTAGCAGCTTGAGCTAAACATGAATGGATTACATATTACAATACTAGGATATTCCTTGTATTTGAAATTTGTATCACTATTTCTACTAGCTTTGTCATTAATCTATGTAAACAAATATAGTGTTGTATTCGGACTCAGTAGCTCAATGGATAACTTGTTGGTGTTTGAAGCGAAAAGTACTACGTTCGATTGCTAGTATGACACATCAACATTGGGATGTGGCAGGTACATCCAGCTGACTATTCTCAAGTAGGATGAAATGCGCATCCTGAATTCCACTGCTAGTCACAGTTCGTTTATTCTAATTAATCATGATGTTTGTTGTTACTCAGTGATCAATCAATGTAAACATCTCAATTCTAAAGGTCAGTCGTGTAATAGTGGTGATATCTTCGACTGTGATATTAAATGACATGAGTTTGAATTCTATAGGGAGCATGAGCTCACTCAAGATTACAGATACTCCATTTTGATGAGCGTCAACTAATATGAGATCTAGGTCTAGGATTTCCTGCAGATTGCTTTTAATTACTTGAAATTTGTTCCTCTCTTATTGAACCGTTTTGTATAGTATGACAAACGGAACTGGAAACATAAACTATTGTTGTATGTCATGTATAGTTTTGTTTTTTCCTTTATTTATATTACAAAAATTACTTTCCGTCTTCTGTTTTTAATGGGAAATGTATTAAAATAGTGCATAAATACAACTGAGTAAATTTTGTAAAATATTATTACTACAAAAAGAACCTCTATCAAACTAGGCTGAGTAATTTTGATCGATTTGTTATGCAATGAAGCTTAACTATCAGTAGTCAATGACACTAATTTTGTCTACATGAATATCAAAGGATAGAATGAAAACTCAATAAAGTATTATTAGGTGATATTGTACCCAAGGCGATGTTCTATATATATATATATATATATATATATATATATATATTGAAACGACGTGTAACACAGTAATTAATTGTACGTTCAGTCACTCTAGTTTGAGCTACATTTTATGCATGTGTGCATGTGTCTATGTAAGAGAGAACAATATACACTCACTACGCGAAAGTTGGAAACAAAGTAGGAGGACATAGAGCCAGATCTAAATCTGTTACCCGATAGTTGAGTACTTTAACTACTGTTTTGACAATGAATCGATGAAGTATCTATGACAAAATAAATCTTATTGATTCAAACAAAAATAAACAAATAGCGAAACTTTCCTAACGCAGCGAGTCATTATTGAGCATATGACAGTTATTGACATGGGGTTGTGGGGATTGTTGAATTTTGAGATCAGGAACTGATTTAGGTTAAACAGCCATTGAAAACCTGGAAGCACTGGACGAACGTTTCTCCCTGAGATAGGATTCTTGAACAATGCTCATCCATGACCCCGAATCTGGAGATTGGACCTGTTAGGGATGTTAAATTCCCAGAACTCACTTGGAAAATGCCTTATTTTTGTAATTCTATTTTAAAAATTTGAATTTCTCGTTTTCGCGCCAAAAGCACCCGTTTTCACCTTCATGTTGTATCTCCCACTTGGGAGGATCTCAAACGCTATTAGCTCGTTATATCTTTTAGTATGCTATTTTGTAACGTTTTCCAAGGACATTTTTATGTTGTGTATATACGCTACAGTTGTGCTTATTGTTGTTCGTGCTTCTGGCTGCTTGTGGAATATATTTCCCTCTTCTGAACTTGGACTTCTCTCTCTAGTTAGCGTGGCTGGGAGGCATCAGAATAGTTAGCTGATTTAGTCATCGTATCACTGAGTCTTCGTTCCGTTCGCAGATTAGGTGAACTCGTAACCTCTTCAAACATAGCAGAAACCAGAAACTTCCGTCTCGCGCACAAACGCTTAACCTTTAAACCAATGAGCTGGGATACCGTGGTGTACTAGTTCATGACTAATTGAAGTTAGACTTGTAAACCACTGAACCTCGGCCCCGTGGTCTAGAGGTTAGTAGTTTATGAGCGAGTCTGAAAGTTTTGAGTTCGACTCAAGATTGCGGAGCGGTGGACATACACTGTTGGAAAACTCATACTAGGACGAAACGGCCGTTCAGTGATTTCAGTTTTCCAACAGTTGTTGAACGTAGATCGCCTCATGATCTCAATAAAATAACAGACCAGTAGTAACTCGAAAAAACATAACACACGATAGAAAGAAGAGGGAGAAAAGTGACAATATTCAAATCAAGAAAAAAAGTCTTAACAACACATACCTTTTCCATGTATATCTTGAGAAATTGGATTAATTTCTAACAGTGTACAATCAGAGGAATCAAAGAGTTTGTAAAGTCGTTCAATGTATACAGCTGCTTCATTAGGATTTGTAAAACCTAATTGATGAGCCATAAATAGGGCATCTTTTTTATTTAAACCTTTGTCGATATCAACCGGAATCTAAAGGTGTAGAATAATTTTTTTAAAAGAACAGTAGTTGAAAACTTGTTAAAATGTTTCTTGAAGATATTTGTATAGTTCAAAGATGATTTTTGTTAGCTACAACGTAGGACCAGGCATATATATGCATCGGTTTAAGTTGTCACACCTGATTAGCACAACAAGATGAACATCGAATTCATAGAAGTAGTTAATTTAGTGGTGGTAATATATAAATGAAAGATTGTATGTAAGGATATAGTACAGGAAGAAGGACATATGAAGAAATTTTAATCGTATAGTTTAAGAGAAGACATAGAGTGTATACACTGACGCCATTATAATCGGTTCTGAGCCATGTCACACAAGGTTTTCAACCATTGATTACGATTTTCAATTTCTCCTCAGAAACTCTTATCGCTGTTTTTAGACTATGAAACAGACAACTGATGCTACCCACGAGACTCAGTATCACAGTGAGATACATCACCACAACTGGGTAATCCAAGTCATGACTGACCTCTTGTAGGACAGAGATTTTTATACTAATCGATTACTAAGTAGTAACACCAACGTCATATTTATCTAATCCTTAGTGCCAACTAAAATTTGTTATTTACCTATAAAATTAATAGTTCTAGTTGAAATTAGCTAGTCATTAGGTCTATATATTTGCCAAGACTATTTACAGAAGGGATATATTATGACTAGCAGTGGAATTCGAGATGAGTGTTTTATCCTACTTGGGACTTGTCAGTCGGATGTACCAGGCACATCCCAGTGTTGATATCTACATTTGAACTCGAGCCAAGTTGCCTTTTACTTTAAAAGCCTTTGAATACAGATAGCCGCTAAATTGTTCAACAACCATGATAATTACATCATTACTAGTAAGAATTTGAATTATCTACCATTCACATTCAACATTTACATAATCAAATTATAAACCATAAAACTTTCTACTGATTTACTTTAATTAAAGCATCTGGATTATCACGTGCTATATCTTCAATATTTACACCACCCTGTTGACAACCAATCATTACTGGTCCTCCACAAGAGCGATCTAGGACAATAGCTAGATAATGTTCACGTCGAGAATATTTACGTTCACATGCTAATAATTTGTTGCATAATTGGCCAGTGTCACCAGTTTGTGCAGTGTAGATTCGATGACCAAGCATTTGACTAGCTACATTTACGGCTTCTTCTATACTGAAATTTAAAAAAAGAGAAGACAAACAAGTTGAAATTGAAACTTGACTATCTATTACATGTAATTATATAACTGAATAATTAAGTTCATTTCATGATAAGAAAGGATCAAAAGAAAAAACTAATGATGAATTCAATATAACAATCAGAAGGGTTTTGTTGAGATTTCAGTATTTTTATAGTTGTAATCATGAGTCAATTGAGGCTAGACCATCATGGAAAACCTGGAAGCACTGGACAGCCGTTTCGTCCTACTATGGGACTTCTCAGCAGTGCATATCGACGATCCCGCCTCGCGAGATTCGAACCCAGGACCTACCAGACAATCAAAACAGGTCATGATATCACATGAGGAAGGAAATTATATTTACAAACATTTTATTGATTGGACGTAGAATAAATTCAACATTTTGCTCGGCAATCTGTTCCGAGCTTATATTCCCTTGAAAAGGCTTGAACCGGACTACCAAGTGAAACGTTAAATTTAAGTTTGATCGCTGGGGTTTCTACAAATATAATATACCATGTCTGTACGTTAACACGGCGTCCAAATAGTGTCAAACTATTCGTTTAGAATCAGATAAGGGTACTTCTAAAGGTGTAGTGAACGAGAACACAAGAGGAGACAATCGAATGTATTTGAACACAAAATTACAGAACGTCTTAGTAAAATCTGAGAACCATACAGTAAATACCTAATTTGCAAAATGTCAATCGTCTCAAACTTTATTGTTCTTCCGTTTCCACACCGATCATTCTCTGTTCTCGTTCTCTTTTCTTTGGTCTTCTTGACCCTCTGCCGCCAGACATTTCACTATCGATTGACTATACATATTACTCATATCTGTCGACATCAGTAGCACACACCACAACAGCACTGTTCTTAAGACAGCATCTAAAGCTCTGTATACAAACCTACGAGTATCTTATATTCTTAATCACCACGTTTCACAACCGTGAAGTAAAGCAGAGCGAACTACTGAGCAGTATACTCGTCCCTTAATTGATAGACGGATATTTCATCTTCGGCATAAGTGAGGTAAGTTGGCAAAAGCCAAACGAGATTTTTGAATCCGTGATGAGATTTCGTCAGATACCAACCCATTAGGGCTGATTAAATCTATCGATGCGTTCGACTACTTCACTCCCTATCCTTAGTTCAGGTGTTGATGCAGGCCAGTCCTGGAGTAACAATTTACATTTAGAGAGAGGGAAACGCATTCGAAATATCCTGGCATTGTTACTCAGTGCTAACAGAAGACTCTGCATTTTGTCAGCGTCTTCACCAAACAGGACTATGTCATCCGCGTATTCTAAATCGATAAATGGACCTCCTGGAAGGAGATCAATTCCTGAAAATTCAGTCGACGAGAAAATTATTTTCAGCAGTATGTTTATGATGAAATTAAACAAAAATGGAGATAGTGGACAGCTTTGCCAGACATCACATTTCGGGTCAACTCTAACCCCTCGTTGCACCATTGGAATCTGTAAGATGAACCAACTGTTTTAAAGCAAGATGATTAATTTTTCGAGATTCTTTTTTTAGTGAAGCGGTCATCATAGCACCTTCTCAAATAAGTATGGAAGTAAATCCAACACCAAAACTAGTGTATATATTAAAATTAATAGCACTAATGTTAATTAAGCTAGTATATACATTACAGGTAAAGTTAAATCCAAAAGCTGTAATCTACACTTAAGTAAACGCTAATGTTCAATCTCGAAAGTAGGCAAGTGTTCACAGTTGTTTGAATGCCTACCAACAAGTTTACAAATTTACACACACTTGTCATTTATTTTTTATTTATTTATTTAATCACATATATATTCGTACAAAGGGCACCGGATACATATTCGCCACACAAAATAAAGAGAATGGGAGGAGAAGGAAAAAGATGCGTATATATAAAGGAAGGGGAAAAAAAGAAAAGAAGAGTAATGATGGGGGAACTGAAATGTACCACCAGAAGAGCTCTCTCAGTTAGGAAAGTTATAGCCGCTCTTTATGAAGAAAGTAAAAGGTTACAGCAGGATCGCCACTGGCTTCTATTCTGAGCCATATCTGATAACGTCTCTAGCCACTGTGTTGCACTATCTCTCGGATCCCAACCAGGGAGTCGTGAAGGACCAACAGAAGCTAGCCTTTTGCAGCTTTCTCTTATGCCACGACACCATGTCATACACTGACCACCTCTCCGCTTTTTCCAACCAGTCCCAGAGTCGGCAAATAATGCACGACGTGGAAGTCTCTGGGACGACATTCGTAAAACATGTCCAAGCCACCGAAGTCGGTGTTTCAAGATGGTGACACCAATTGAATTATCTTCTCGGCGCCCGAACACACGATGCCGAACCTCTGCATTACTAACATGGTGTTGCCACTGAATGTCAGCAATCCTTCGGAGACAACGATGATCGAACACAGAGAGTCGTCTAACATTCTCAACTCGGAGAGGCCAGGTTTCACAAGCATAGAGCAAAACTGCTCTCACCGATGCGTTGTAGATCCGACCTTTTACAGCCAGAATAACATCACGAAGGCGCCAAAGATGGCCCAGATTGACATAAGCCGCTCTGGCTTTCATTATACGTGCATCAATCTCATCACTCACGCCCCCATCAGCACTTATGTAGCTACCTAGATACACGAACTTCTCAACTACTTCAATCTGCTCACCATCCAGGGTGAGTACAGGATGAGAATCCTGCCAGTCTTGTAGGAGTACTTTGCACTTGGAGGGTGCAAAGCACATGCCGTACCTGCGGACACTGATTGCCAACTGATTAAGTGCGGATTGCATGCCTTGAGCATTATCGCACAGTAAGACAATATCATCCGCATACTCAAGGTCGACAAGTCGTTCTCCAGGCAACATATCCACACCGTCATTACTTACATCCATCAGAGCTGTTTCCAGGATGTCGTCGATGGCAAAGTTGAAGAGGAATGGTGAGATTGGGCAACCCTGCCTAACCCCGCTGCTCGAATGGAACAAGGGAGAAAGGTGGTTGTATGCCCTCACTCTGCCTGAGGTGTTCGTATACAGGGCCTTTAAGATGTTAATGAGCTTCTCAGGCACACCCTTCTTCAATAGACAATGCCAGAGAACAGTCCTGTCCAACGAATCGAAGGCAGCCCTGATATCAAGAAACACTACGATTGTTGGCCTGCGATAAGTATGACGGTGTTCTAACATTTGGCGGAGGGTGAAGATGTGATCAATGCATCGTCGACCAGAACGAAAACCAGCCTGCTCCTCGCGAGTCAATCGTTCTCGGGTTTTGAACAACCTACGAAGACTGATAGAAGCCAATAGTCTGGACGCAATCGGAAGTAGACTTATCCCCCGATAGTTGTTACAGGAACAACGTGAACCCTTTTTAAAGATAGGGACGACTATTGACTCATTCCACGATGTTGGAACACTTTCTTGCTCCCAAACCTTTGCAAACAACACAGTCAATTCCTTAGCCAGAAAGTCACCACCATCTTTAAAAAGAGCCGGAGGTAAGTCATCTGGGCCCGGTGATTTATAACGTTTCAAGAGTTGGAGTTCCTTGCGGACTTCCGCCTCGTTTGGTGGATCAGTCGAAACCGGCCATGGGGGGCAGGACAAACTGGTTGATGTTGCCGGAGCAGCAGGCCAGTTGAACTGCCCTTCGAAAAATTCCGCCCATCGTCCAAGACGTCGACAGATGTTAGACTGTTTCACTCACACCAGACTTCTTGCTGCCAGTGGCTCGGATGAGTTGGGAGAGCTTCCGGCAATTACCAGATGCAGCTGCTGCTTCCATCTCATTAGCACGCTCCGACCACCAGGCTTCCCGGTCCTTACGCAAGCTTTGCCCGATTTCATTACGTAACAGCCTTCGTTTGTGGTCATACTCACGGTCACCCGGAGTAGACCGACGGGCGTCCATCAGTTGTAAGGAGCCAGAAGAAACCCAGTGCTTATAAGCGGGACGTTTCGCGAAGCCGCAAGCGACTTTACTCGCCATTTTCATGGCGTCGTGAAGATGCAACCAATGCTCATCTACACTTTTCGGTGGGGTGGTAGCTAGCCTAGAAGCTAGCTCGGCTCGATACTTACTTACAACAGAAGTTGCAGCCAGTTTACTAACATTGATCCGTTGATGGTGGTCAATCCTTCGGCCACTGAAAAGTAAGGTGATATTGGCGCAGACCAGGGCATGGTCAAACTCCAGATAGGTACTCCAAAAGGAGCGGCAGTCTTGTACACAACCATGCCAGCGGTAGCTGATCGCGATGTGATCAATCTGAGTCCAGGCTTGGGATGCAGAGGGAGGACGCCAGGTGGCACACCGGCGATGACTGTGCCGGAAGTTAGTGCTGGCCAGAAACAGGTTGTGGTCTGTGCATAGTTGCAGCAAACGGTCCCCGTTATCTGTCCTGCGACCAACAAGTCCCCATCGGCCACCTAAACGATTCTCTTCTGTGCATAGACGCCCGACCTGAGCATTCAAGTCTCCGGCTAATACTACAATATCTGTCAAACGCGCTTTCTGGAGAAGAACTGTTAACTGGTGGTAAAACTCATCCTTGATTGCATCCGGGCTGCAATCTGTCGGAGCGTAGGCGGAGATGACGAAAAGACACCGTTTCTCATGCCGGTTTCTTCTCACTTTGATGGAACTTTCTAATCTAACAGCACATGACCGACTGTTAATGGGGATCCAATCGATTAGTGCTGCCTCAGCTCTAGCGCTTAGTGCGACACCAACGCCAGCAAGACCAGACGAAGATGCCACAGGGTCCCCAGATAAGCGCACGTGAAACAAGCTTTTCGAGGCGACAGATGGAGAGCGGATATGTAGTACTTCACTAGAGTCTTGAATGCGGGTCTCGGATAGACAACAAACGTCAACATTAAGACCTTCCAAAGACATAGCCAGCCCTATCTGTTGTCTGATATGCATTAGTGTGCGAACGTTGAAGGAAGCCAGCTTGAACGGCGTACGTGGTTTCAGAAAGACTGCTTCAGTACTCATAATCGGTGGAAGCATTCACTTTCAACCAGACAGTGACTGGAGATCGTTTAGATAGGACAGATTTTCCACCATGGGCGAGCTGCTGCATAAGTTGAAAAGTAAGGTTACACAAATTGGGGATAAAAGGGGGTGAATTAGCGATATGGTAAATAATAATAATAACAATAATAATAATAGTAGTAATAATGCAGATTGATTTGTTTCTAGTAAGAACGAGAATATAATTGTCAGTTGAATGTTCCATTTCATTTATTTGCGAGAGGGCTGTGATACTGCCCGGGTGCCCAAACCGAAGCAGGTGGTTTTCTTAGGGGGCCACACCCCGAGCCTTTGACCCAGAGGTCTAACTCACAAGGCAGTGGAGCATCGTGAGGAGATGCAGTCCCATGGTAGCCGGTGACCAATAACTGGTTCATTCGCCATTTGTTCCTTCAGGATACGAGAGCCTATGTGCCCCACTTGTCATAATAACAATTATGTTAAAAAGATAGTCTCTTGGCAATATTTATAGTTTTTATGGATTAGTTATGTATCAGAATAAGTATTCATTACTTGAAGTTCATCGAATTCATTACTATACATGCTAAGTGTTTGCACTGAATATGTTTTAACAAACGTGAAATAAATAATTCTTTAAAATGGTATTACAGAGATATTTGAGAAATGAAACGGCTGAAATAACAGATAGTGTTTTTTTTAGTATGGTTTATTCTACTGAGTAGTATAGTGTGGTTAGATGGCAGTGTTATAGCCTGTTTCTAGTTAAAATTAAAATATTAATAAATTGGTGAACACAAGGCGAAATACTTTTAAATCAAACTTTTACTAACTCCCTTAATGACTCTTGACTCTGCCGCCAACTGCTAAGAATTTAACGCTCTCATTGACGGTGATACAAGTAAAAGCATATCCTTGGGAATCAGTCATCCAGAGTCAGGGTCACATAGAACATGATTTAACGGCATCCGCAATTGCTATGTAAGATATCATAGGCGGTTGCAGGAAATTAGTCTGTAGATCACTTATTTCCCAGTCATTTAAGACCTCATCGGTAGGCTTAATTTTTGGGAATCTTACCAGAGCGATTTAAAAATTCGACGGGATGACTATTAAAAAACCTACTTACAGCTGATTTAGATTGCAGTTTTTGAGGAATAATGAATTTTCAAACAGGTTATAATGTTGGCTTTACAGTCAGTATGATTTCTACTCATTCTACTTGAACAGCCAAGTATGTTCATTATTTCTCACCCAGTGTACGTACATGAAGATGATAAGCACTATTATTGCTGCACAATGTGTCATTAACATATTCAACTTATCAGTCTGATTACAGTAGATCCCATATTCGATGTTAGGAATTCTATTTTGTTGGTAGAACTTGGTTCCTTCGAGGTGAGAACAATTGACAACTCTCTTTGTTTGGTCACCCTTTCCTCCGAAGAACCACTAAGAGGTCCGGTATTATGTGCATAGACACAATTATAGCTATTTAATTTGTCTCACCATCTTGAAACACTGGCCTGAAGTAGCTTGAACATAATTCACGAATGTCATCCGTGTAGCTTTCATACGGTGCACATTAATCGCTACATTGATACTAGATGGTAAAAGCAGAGAGATAGTCAGTTCATATTACAGCGCTGTAATATGAAAGGGTAGCTCTATTTGTTGAAGATAAATGAACAAGCACGCCGATTCAAAAGAAAAACAAACCAACTTACCTGTATACAATTTTCACTCCACCTTTTAATCCACTATCCCAAGTACCTTTACCACGGCCACCAGCTAACACTTGTGCTTTCAACACTATATCTGTGCTCTCTCTAGTCTCACCTACGGTTGAACACATATATATAATGTAATAAGTGGAGAAAGAGAAAAAAATTGGTTATTGAATTATTATTTTGTTATGTTGAATACATATAGACAGATTAATCCCAGTGTATGTGAATGTCTTCCTGATCATTTGTAGATTTATTCTTTTTAGGTGTTATTAGATTAGGTGTAAAAACATATGCACAAAATTGTTGAATAAACATCTTAAAATACTTAAGATCATCATAGTGTAACCATCTATTTATTTAGTTATTATTAACTGTTTCGTACACGATTGGGGGGCATCAAGGAAGTGCACCAAATGCAACAAATGGATATTATTATGAAGTAAAAAAAAACAGAAGAAAGTCTTTTTTAATATCAAAATCAATTAGCAATATAGCACACAAAAGTTCAACTACGAGAACTAATCTACTGAGAAGAAAAGAGTTTACAACATTCAATGACACTTCAAGATTTGTTAACACATCTAGTTTATCTCAGAAGTTACAAGTATTATCCAACATCCGAATTTTTGAAATTTGGCATTTGATGAACAGTTGGGATTCCTTGACATTTAAAAACTATTAGCTCAAGTTGTTTGGTGACTAACAAATGAAATTTACTAATGCCATTGTATTAAACGCCTCCTTAAAACTTGATGTTCCAAGGAACACTATACTGTCTATGCTTCAATGAAATTTCCAATTTAATAAGACTCAATAGTAAGATTGAGATTATTTGTTTTTCAGATAAATTACAATTATGAGGACTAGAGACACTAATGAGTATCCAAATTGAATAAAACACTTAACAGATTAGACATCTAACGATTAAACGCTTGAACAATGATTCAAAATGAGCTTAACAACATATTAACATAGATCTAGTTTATTCAACTTCACAAAAATCTAGTAAGGCCTCTAACGTCTAATCACATATTTCTCATGAAGCAGATTAGATGGTTCCTCTTAGTTATATATATGTTACATTTTAATTTGGATCTGACAGATGATATACACGACAGTATTCACCGAAGATTGTATTTTTCTCCAACATATAAAATTATTGAAATTTTACTGTCAAACGGTCGGAAATCTATATTAGAAGTTTCGCAAAGAATCGATAGCGGAACTAAAAAAAATTTTCAAATATATTCTGGTATTACTTAGGTAGTGAATTTTTTCAACTTGTATCAATTATAAAGTATTTAAGTGGTGATAATTGATTATGTCGACTGAAGAAAGACTTCATTAAAAACTTTTAAAATAATTAGTATTTTCCTTTGAATTGTAGGTCCCAGTTTTTGAAGATTATTATTACATATGTGAACTTGGTTTGAAGCAGTTAGTTTCTATTTAGGGCGACAGTCACATATCAAAATCATTCAAGTAGAGTGTTACATTAAAACGATGTTAACGAATATTTGTTTGCAGAAATAGGTAGTTATCGGTAGTTTACATCTCCATGTGAAGAAATGTGACTTATGGATGGGACAGGTTTATCATTTATGTAGATGATGGACAGACAGATATACTGTGCAATGAGATAAAATCAACTTATTTCCATTCTATTTTTATCTCTCACTGAGTATGTTTCAAATGGATTAACTACCACATTAAGATGTGAAAAATGAAACGAATTGTGCTAAATGCTAACACATCCCTGAATAAATTGTTTCAAGCATAAGATTAAGATGTAGACGAATCCTTCAAAATTGTTGTATTTATGAATTTGTTTCGGAGAGTTGTCGAACTTCGCAGACATTTCTTTAAAATACTTTAACAGAAGCCATAAACACTTGAAATAATTACGAGCAGGTAACTTCCTTAAATGTGAAAAGCCGAAAATATATATGACAAATTGATGTTTTTTTCCTAAATATATTGGTTCATTATCTAAATTACTATGTACTTTCTTGCAGACAGTTCTATATCCCCCCGAGATTAACTGTTCTCACATATATACACTTTGAGTTGTTTCAATAAACCTACCTACAAGTATAATTAAAATTTGCACCGATGATATTTCTTCTAGTTTTACATTTATGTGTCAGAAAATAATTAATGTGTAACATAGTAGAGTCATACAAAATTACTGGCGCTGTTATCAATTAGACAGTGCTGAAACTCTAATTGCACACATACACACACAGAAACCACCACTTGTTTTTAAAAAGAAGAAGTCTTTTTACGTACTGTATAAAAGAGAGAATAAGGAGTAAAGGGAAGATTTCACGCCAAAAAGTAGCAAATTATCAGAACAGTAACAGAAAACATGTGAATGACATAACGGATAATATAACCTTACCTGAATTTTCTAATTCACTTTCGGGTAAAATGCCTGAATAAAAAAGGATACATGAGAAATAGGGGAAAATACTGGAGAGAATCTTTGTATTAGACGACAAACACGCAGATGTGATATGTTTTTAAATTGTAATACACATGAATTAAAATCAATTTTTCTGCAGAACTCAAAATTTATGAACATTACAAACTAAATCAAAGCTGTGTGGGAAATCTCGTCCATCATGGGCCATCACAAAGAAACAAAACTCTTAATAATGCTTAAAAAAATGTTTAGTACAATGGGATGCCAAGATATATGGTGCATAAAACCAAATTGTAATATTGTGGCAAAATATATATGATGAAAGCACAAATAATAAGTATTGGAGGATGTCATTCATATTAGCACAAAAACAAGCTAGATTTTATCAACGTAAATGTTACATCAGATTGTTTATAAAAAAAGAATAGAATCAAACCCCTACTAGATTATATAATGAATTATGTTCGATAAACCTTCAAGTTTATAAGCTTCGTAATGTAAAGCGAATGTCCGGCGCATTAACCAGGTTGGTGAGTATGGAAGATTCACCTAGGAGAGTTGGGAAACCCTGATTCTAATCCAATTGTGTACATGGGCTCCAGGATCCTGAGGGAACAAATGGCGTATGAACCTATTGTTGGTCACCGGCTATCATAGAACTGCATCGAACGTTTGTCACTGGTCTTGTGGACCATACCTTTAAGCCAAAGGCTCGGAGAGTGGCCCTATAAGAAAACCACCTGCTTCGGTTTGGACACCCGTGCAGTATCCCAGCCAACACACAAACTAGATGATGAATAGAAAAACTATTCACGATTTAATTTCAATTTCCGCAAATCATACACAAAACTTCTCGTTAATACTCGTTCTTATTTTAGATTTCATCACCTGTCCATTCTTTTACTCCAGCCTGTTATATCTTGTGGTCGAGTGAATGCCTTGCTAATGTATGACGTGATAAGACCACCAATCAGAGAGCTGCGAATTATCGATTGGAACAGTGACACACGAAAACCGTACGAGCAGTCTAGAGTGCTTATCGGTCCTGCTTCTGCCTAGCCCAGCCAGTTAAGTCCAGAACACCAATAACAGCCTCTGCAATCTGAATCATTATTCACAAACATACTGGGTTTATAAACTAATCAAACAGACCACATAGTACCATAAAATAGAAAATAACATTTGTACAAGGTTTGGCCAAATGTGACTGTGAATAGTGGGGACAGTAATCGATAGACTGGGGATAACTCAAGAATGGTAAATTGTATGATAATAGTTCATAGGTCAAAATAAAGCTTATGATAAGAGGAACACGAATATGAATAGTTTAGTTACTTAACAATTATACAATAGGAAATATACATATTACATAGGTCCATAAATAGTCCTAAAAGTTATCATTCACAATTCTCTTCGGGATACAACACAGCCTTGCACATTCCTTTATTCTTCAACTTCTACAACAGCTCGCCTATCATGGAAACCATGTCCTATCTGAACGATTTCAAGTTAATGACTGGTCGAAAGTTGAATGCTACCACGGAATACGAATTTTGAACCGGCCTTTCTGAAAACATGCATGCTATTCAAACTGACTTTCTTCAACGTTCGCACACGTATACAGATCGGACAGCAGATAGGGTTGGCTGTATTTAGAAAGTTTCGAAATTGATGTATGCTGTTTATCCGAGACCCGTATTTAAGACTAGTGAAGCACTACAAGTTCACTCTCAATCTGTCACTTCAAAAAGCTCGTTTCACATGCGTTTATTAGGGGACCCTGTGGCATCTTTGTCGGATTTTATTGGCGTTGGTGTCGCACTAAGCGCTAGATCTGAGATAACATCAATTGAATGGATCCCCACTAACATTTGGTTATATGCCGTTAGATCAGAAAGCTCCATCAGAGTGAGAAATCGGTTTGAGAAACGATATCTTTTTGTCGTCTCCACCTACGCTCTGAAAAACTGCAGAAAGCATGCGATCAAGGATAAGTTCTACCACCAGTTAGGTGTTCTCCTACAAAAAGTGCGTTCGATAGATACTGTAGTACTAGCCAGACACATAAATGCACAGATTAGACATCTAGAAATAGAGGAGTCATTTGGGTGACCAATGAAGAGTTTTTGGTCGCAGATTAAATAACGGTGACCATCTACTGCAAATTGTTGAAGACTACAACCTATTTCTAGCTAGCACTAAACATCGCCGATATGCTACCTGGCGTCCTCCCTCTGCATATCAAGCCTGGACTCAGATTGATCACATAGCCATCAGCTACCGCTAACGTGGCTGTGTACCAGACTGCCTATTCCTTTGGAGTACCTATCTGGACTCTGATTATGCCCTTGTTTGCGCTAATCTTAGCTTACATTTTAATAGTCAACAAATTCATTGCCTTAAACTGATTGATGTCAGCAAATTGATTGCAGCTTCTGTCGCAATAAAATATCAAACCGAGCTAAGTTCAAGGCTAGCTATCAGCCCACCGGAACGTTCGGATGAATATTGGCTGCCATTGCATGACGTTATGGAAACGGCGAGTAACGTCGCTTGCAACTTCACAAAAAGTCCCGCCTATAAGTACTGGGTTTCTACAGGCTCCTTACGGCTCGTTGAAGCACGTCGGTCTACTCCGGCCAAACAGCGAATTTGATCATAAACGAAGATTGTTATTTAATGGAATTATACGAAGGGCCGAAAAGCCTGGTGGTCAGAGCATGAGAATGTTTTAACACTCGGTTTTCCCGTCTACATGAATGGGACGATAAGTTACCTTAAACGAATGTCTACACTAGATTGACTTCCAGTGTCTATTCTTCGAAACTTCAACACTACACAGATCAAGAACACGTAGTTAGCCTGACTAGAACGTAAGTATATTTCTACACCAAAAAACTGACAACAACAGTAATAGTAAGACTAGGAAAATATAAAACTTATCTAATGCCTTTCAGACTAGACTGCTTTGGCAGACAACCAACCACTAATTTCCTCACCCACACATCAGCTAACGAGTTGGAAGCATCAACTGCGTCCAGTAACCGCTGGAAAGTCTTTCAACTCATCCGAGACACTGGAACCAAGAAGTCTGGTGTGAGAGGATCTGTGAAGCTGACGAGATATCAATCAATAACATCTACCTCCGTCTTGGACGATAAGTGGAGTTTTTGAGCAGCAGTTCAACTGATCTACTGCCCCAATGATATCGACCAGACTGACTTGCTCTCCATGGCTGGTGAAAACTGATCCATCCAACGAAGTGAAAGTCCGTAAGGAACTCCGACTCTTTAAGCACTACAGATCACCAGGCCCAGATGAATTACCTCCGGCTAGAGTTTTCCAACATCATTGAACGAGTTGATAGTTGTCGCTATATTTAAAGTGTTCACGTCGTTTCTGTAATAACTGTCGGGGGATAAGCCTACTTCCGATCGCGTCCAAACTATTGGCTTCCGTCATACTTTGTAGATTGTTCGAAACTCAAGAAAGATCGAATTAGGAGGAGCAGGCTGGTTTCCGTTTTGGTCGATGAAGTATTGATCATACCTTCACTCTCCACCATGTGTTAGAACACCGTCATACTTATTATAGGCTAACAATATCAGTCTTTCTTGACATCAGGTCCGTCTTCGATTCGATGGACAGAACTGTTCTCTGCGATTGTCTATTGAAGGAGGGTGTAATTGAGAAATTTATTGACATTATGAAAGGGCCGTATACAAACACATCGGACAGAGCGAAGGTGTACAACCACCTCTATTGATTTATTCAAGCATTGGGTTCAGGCAGAGCTGTCCAGTCTCACCATCCCTCTTCAACTTTGCTATCGATGATGTTCTGAAAACTTCTCTGGTGGATGTAGGTGATGGTGGTGTGGATCTGCTACCCGGAGAAATACTTTTCGACCTTGCGTATGCGGGTGAAATTATCTTACTGTGCGATGATACTCAACACATACAATCCGCACTAAATCAGTTAGCAATCAGTGTCTGCAGGTAATGGCATGTGCCTTGCACCTTCTAAGTGCAAATTACTTCTACAAAACTAGAACTTTGAACCTGCATTTACTCTGTGTAGTCAGCAGATAGAAGTAGTTGAGAATTTCGTGTATCGGGGTGCCTGTGTAAGTGCCGATGGTGGCGTGAGTGATGAGATCGATTCACGTATAGTGAAAGCCAGAGGGGCTTATATCGATTTGGGCCATCTATGGCGCCTTTGTGATATTAGTCTGGATGTAAAAGATCGAATCTACAACGCGTCGGTGAGAGCAGTTTGGCTGTATGCTTGTGAAACCTGACCTCTTGCTACCAGTGGCTCGGATGAGTTCAAAGAACTTCCGGCAGTTGCCAGATGCAGCTGCTACTTCCAGCTCACTAGCACGCTACGACCACCAGGCTTCTCGGAATGATTGAGTCTTGGTTTAACCAAAGAGATGTTCTCACCAAATACCCTATATATGGGCATAGGATAACTCATTGTATACAAAGATTGATACACCACCCCGCGTGACTATTTGTCCTGAATTCGTTGTATAAAAATAAAGATCTGTGCCTAATAATTTGACTGTATCTACAAGTAGAATATCAACTGTACATAACCTTAACTATCTAGCTTGGCGAGGTAGCATGGGCTCTTAGGTAACCTTACTACTTTATATTTAAAAATATTTTGCCTAACAAGAGCGTTTTGGGCGAGACTAAACTATACTGCCGAGCCAATCAGAAGCTTTCGCGGGTTTTCAAGGTCACAGCTCTAAGTTCGGTACCTGATGCTTACATACGGTCGGTTTACAACGGATTTTAGAGAAGACGTGATAATTCAACGTCTACAAGAGAAGTGACCATAAGATTTTGGCGCGAAATTCGATTATTCATTTGTGTAAACAGAGTTTTGGCATTATAGCTGATTTCAGTTCGTGATGAATTCTTCACACGGGTTTATGACCCTCATTTAGTCTTAGTTACTATGTTGACAATCTCAGAGTCACTCTAGTGTCGCTCAAAGGTCGTCCATAATGTATAGTCCCATCCTTAACCCTAAACCTTAACTCTAACCTTAAACCCTGAACCATACCAATATATCAACAACACTGAAGCTGTGTGGTCGAGGCTAATAGAATTTTTGAGACTTTATCAGGGTTTCAGAGGTCGACTACTATGGAGCCATATGGATGTGTTCCTGTACCGTATGCACTATGATTTTAGAACTTTTGAACCTATATCTGACCTTGAGAAGTTTTTGACTCATGTGAAAGAAGTGTATCCACTTTGATTCTTTGGTTTTGTATAATAAATTTTTACTGTGCACTGTCTTCTGATTGGTCATTTAAGATTCGTTCAAAGGTCGTCCATGTAGTTTAGTCTCGGCGTGTTTTGTCCAAGGTATAAAAAACCTTCAGGATTATTTACGTAAAGTGGTCGGATCGAACCCACATAGTCCTTAAGTTTGGTTAGCGGTTAAAGTACTTGAGCATGTGGAATTGTAAAATTTGTGAAAACGTATACGGGAATTGAAGCAGGAGAGTTATTATCTACGTATCTTCAAAAATCTATTTCAACCCTTTAAAAGATATTTCCGGGACAAATTAAACTTACTGGATGACAGAAAGTGATGAAACAAAGTCTTAAACATTTAATGTACCTACCGAATTCTTCACAAGCAGCTTTGACTTCATCCACATTCCGAGCAACTATAAACTTTGGAACAGGTATTTCGTACTTTTTCAATAATTCCATTGCCGAATATTCATGAACTTTCAGTGTGCGGACGCACTTGACCTATTTTTAGCCTTGTTAACTTTTGTAAAGTGAATTTACATTTTGAAAAAGCTTATTGGGTCCGAAAATTAATTTTCGAAACATTTGCGGAAAGTGGCGCACCGTCAAAATGCCGCGGGTCAGATTTCTCGATATTAGCGACTTGTATTGAAACCCAGAGGACGAGAGTTGACCTTCAAATGGTCACAAGATTTCTGGGTGGAACAGAACAAGCTTTCGCTTAACGAGCTACTGTATCCAGTACAATGCCTCCAGGTAAGAACTTAGGCATATAAACGACAAAATGGAAAGAGAATTAGTAAATTGCAGTTAGATATTATGTTTTGTTCTTAAGAATATATCAAGTTTTCCTCTGAAGAGCTCCTAGGAAGTGGCTTGAACTGTCTCGGCTGGCAGCGAATTCCAGAATTCGTCT